TGTCTCACAACATGAGACACAGCCGCGCAGCCCCTCCTCTGTCGACCCACAGTGGACACTCATGTGGACACAGCGAACTTGGAGCCCCTGCCGTGGTCTTGCTTTGCGCTCGTGTATTCTGCCGAGGCCTAGGCCAGACTATCAATGACTAACTTCTCTTCTTTTCCTTTTTCGTGAAATTCAACAGTTCTAGCAACCGTACTACTTACTGTATACCTTTCCTGTGCGCGTCAAGTAGATCTGAAATTTGAAGCAGTGAATGTAGCAGGCATTCACTCTTACAATTTGAAATCTCGCGAATTCTGAGCAACCTTCTATGAGCAAAGGCTGTGAATCGCTTCGCCAATCTTTTGACCTGGGATGCCTGCTGGCCACCACTGCCGCCGTCCTCCAATCAACAGGCACAGTCAGTGGCAGAATCCAAGCAGTTTGTGACTTGTGGCCACATTAGAGATTGAATAAGTTTGGTGATGGGCATATCAATCGAGCTCTACTGTATATGGCCATGGGAGGATGCTGTAGGCTATACTGTATGATACTGTATATATATGGCATATATAGGATACCCTTGGCAATCCCAACTGGTCTCGTCGTTCTCCCGTCCTGCCATGCTGGCGCTTCCTTCGGCAGCATGGGCGCCAACAAGTCGCGCACACGCTCGTTGTGTAGCTGGCGCGATGGGGGTTTCCACAGTGCTGGCGGAATGTTCGAAGGCGATGATGTGCAACTCCAACTCCGGTCCACACTCATTTCTCTGGGTGGTACTCACGAATGTGATCAATGCTTCCAGTCTCACAAGCTTTCAGCCTCTTGTGCCTGAGACGTGAAAACTCGCTCTTGCTGGCCTCATAGAATGAGGCAATACAAACCGTGCCTGGCTCCTTGCACCATTCTCTAGCAAAATAAAGAATCAGCAATACCAATCACTTCTGAGCTTCGTTGAAAACTGTTCGTTGAAACAGGATGCATCGAAGAGGCCGAAAGGTCCTCGTGTCGCACCGCGGAGAAGATCGCTTCCAAGGTACGCGGAATCAAGCCCGAACCTGCACTCACCTGCAGTCCAGATTGGTGACACATGGTTTGCACTCCAAAGGACTAAAACTGAGCTGAAGGAGAAGCCAAAGTTTCATCCGATTTGCACTCCAACTGGTGACGTGCCTCCATGTTGAAGGCGTTGTCCAGTGGCCCCTCCAAAATATACCACAATATGCACAGCACTTATGATATAATGTGTCTGTTTGGTTGTAATCTTTCTTAACCTGAGAAATCCTGCAGTGGCTAGATGAAGCATGCAGAAACTACTGAGGCGGCGGATGCTGTGATGCTCCAAGTCTCTCGAATTGAAACCAAGCTCGCCACCTTCTCCAGGGGCGTCACGTGAAGCTTCTCCACTTTCTCTCGCATAGGTGTACGTGGTGTGCCTGTGCCAAAAAGCATCCAAAGCGCGCGTCACTTCGCCACGTAACTTCTCAAGCATCTTATAGGCAAAGCATGACTCAGAATGAATGCTAAGAGTGGGCCTGCACTCTTTGCGGTTTTTGCATCCTGCATCGAGGCTTGGGAGTATAAGATTGCAAGCAAGTTTATCATGTTTATCATGTGGTGTTGTGTGATATCATTCTTGTGATATCATGCAAATGTCATGTACAGTATATAATATGTCATATTTGCAATACGCTGGTGTCGATGACTGAGAAAAGTGATGTGAAAATACTGGGAAAAAAGAAACACATTCTAGCTGGTTCGGTTCGCTGTGTTGTATCAGCAAAACTCTTGTGCCAAGGCTAGGACAGAAGGGCAATGCACTGGGGAGAGTTCCTCGGGCCCCAGGTCCCTGGTGAACCTCGGCACAGAGCTGGAGGGGTTGCACTTGTTCTCAGACCTGCTGTCTCAACTCCGATTGAATAGGCTTCCTGCTCGGAGCCCATCATCGTGTAGGTCTTGCCAGAGCCTGGCAAAAGCTTTGTTCAAATGTCTCTGCAATATCGGTAGCTGCAACTGAGAGCGCATTTCTTTTGTCTCCACCTGTGTGGCCATAGGCGAGCATGCAGGTATTGTAGCCTTGGCTCTGGTCACACACATCACCGACTAAGAACCTGGGCCTCTGCCGATGGGATCGACCGCGCCAAAAAAGGCCGGCACCTTCAAGAGCTTTTCGTACTAGCTCTGCACCCAGCGCCTTCAATGCAAGGAAGAGCCATAGATGTCAGCCAGTTGGTCAACCACTTCATTTTGAGCCTCGTAGACAGCTTCCTGTGAGCCATCGGGGTTCTCCCTGTCACATGAACCAAGCTTGTGAGTTTGCTTCGGCTTCTGACACCACATAGATGCAAAAAAGATCAAAAAAAGTTGAGCTGTACATGTTTTTGCACCGTCGTACTTCTTATTGCTCTTTCTGTGCAAAGGTTTAGCAGTTGAGTCTGGATGTGTATGCAGAATTGCGGTCATCTACTTGATGATTTGGCGATCATGATATGAGCAAAGTGCGACGCAAACTTGTCAGGCTCGCTCACCCCCAATGCTGGAACCTTAAGAGGTACAACTGGGGCCATACGTCAATACGTCTGCTGGAAAGGAACCATTTACGGTGTTTGTCTTACAGTTGCATAAAGATACAAAGGTGGACGTCGGATGTGTACAACATTCATACATCAGATTTGCACGTGTTTGCAAATAGCAAACATATCTAGGCACATCGCATAGACTTCACCAGAAACAAATATGTATATATATATATAGAACCGCTCCAAACCCAACAAAGCTACTGGCCCTAGCGGGCCCAGTACTTTGTCTCAACCAACACAAATGACGCACTCCTGACGCACTATGCCACATTGTTCACTGAGTTTGGCACGAAGAGCTTGGCTGCCTGTGCTCCTGGGCATATGCCGCTGGTGATGGCGGATGCATGGTGCGGGTGCTCGTTCTCTCACTCCTCTGAGCTGAGCTTGGCCGACTGTCAAGTACATGATCCACCATGAAACATCTCTCCTGAGCGCCGATGACCGATCCACAACGAAACCCACCAGCAGTCGAGCAGTCGCGCTGCTAACCCCCACTGTCGCCTGCCGGTCAAGTCCAAGTAAGGAGACCTTGCCATTGCTCCAGCTACGTACACCTTGTCGTTGCCCGGCCTGAGACAAAGAGAGTCTCTGGCGCTTGTGTCGTGCGAATGCTTGGCGCACATTTGATTAGCTTGGCCCAAGGTTAATACTAAATACATTATGCTGACCCTGCAAGTCGTTCAACTTCTCTCTATTCAGCTTGACAAGGTCGCTCGACAAACACCCACAGTTCGGCCGCCGAACGCGAACCGCCTCCCGTGACACTAATGGCCGGATTCGCACAGCCACTCTGACCCCGGTCGGCAGGGCGGAGCGATTCTGGCAGCAGCTCGCTGTGTTCAAGGCGACATGGAAGGTGTGCAGAAATGAAACAAAGCAAACCTGCAAAAGAATCTTGTCGCCACGGAAACGAAGTCCAAACAATCTAGCAAGTTTGTTGCGAGCGATTGAAAACATATCGTAACAAGCCTATAAAAACAAACAAGGGCTCACCTCACAGCTACTTGAGCATGTTGAAGAGATTGCGCCTGGCAAAGAAGTATTGTTGGAAACTTATCCACTTGATTCATGCACTGTGCGCTGATACTGTGTTCTGATCAAAGGCATCAATGTTCGTCTCAAGCTAATATGCCGTTCACTGACACCGAGTGATTCCAACACAACCGGCCTGAACAACTAGACACCTGACAGCAGTGGGTCTGTCGTTCTCTTGTCTCCCCTCCTCCTTTGTGTGTGTGTTCTCCACTGGAACGTATCACGGGTGAAAGCCAATTCCAAACAATAGTAGAAGCATCAACTGCTCAGGCGGATTTGTGGGAATAAAGCTAAGAGTTACATATATTGTCAACTACCTGCATCCACAATGCAATGTTTGAGCTTCAATCCGGTACCACATTTAAATCAACTGACACTCTCAACTGAACTAGCTGCATCCGCAAGAAACCAGCTAAGACGAGGACGCTGTTTCTTTCCTTAGTAACAAGGGCATTAGTACTAACTAGTAGCTAGAAGCTACCAGTACTAGTAGCAATTGCAACTAGCTCAGCACCTTTTTCAAGTCGAGGATGTGCTGGAAGGATCGGAAGCTGTGGGACCACACTTTGCTCGACCATCGAGAAGAGAGCGTGCCTGACATGTTTCTTTGAATTAACCAAGGTAGTGCCGGCCAACGCCCAGCATAAGGGTTCATCCTGTGGGCTCCTGCCATAAATCCAAACATTCACCACTCACCGCAAGCTATCACCGAGAAGCGTACGACGAATCATGTTGTCGGGAAACAGAGACATGTTCTAATTTACTATATAGACAAACAAAAATTATCCAGCATCTGTTGCATTTACCGGAAGAAATCACCACAAGCAAACTCAAATTCCCAGCCTGAAGGCATGGCGGGGTCGACGATGCTTGTGAATTCAGATGGGTTGGATGGGTGGAATTGGCCAAGTTTGCTTGGTGGTACCTTTTGGAGGGCCTGCATGAAAAGCTGGACTTGAACTTAGGTGGTCTAAGAAGCTTTTGTTGAAGTTCACACGTGTTATCCTCTACATTCTCTTCAAGCACCAAGATCTGGATCTAAAGGATGATTGCCTTGCCGCTGCCTGGAACAACTACTTTGAGCTGCAGCTGAATTCGGGCGATACTCTTGTTAGTTAGGCACCTGCTTTCGGCACTTCATGAGGCACAGGACGGGCCACTGGTAGCACCAAGAGTTGGTCACACAAAACAGACTGAAGCTCAACCAACTGGACATCTTTCTCGTTGTGTTTAAATCAAAGCGAGTTGAGTTTAATGGATAGTATATACATGTTTGGAGGCTACAGAGTGAGTGGCTCCATGCATGCGTTAATCAGTATTGATTGATTCAGAAGCCATGGCTGAAACCCTTGGTTGCTGGTCTTCATGGACGCATGTGGAGCACTGCGAAACACCTCGCCCTCACTCAGTGCACGCCCAAAGAAGCCTGTGCGGCATTCCATGTCCATTGGCCGAAGGGCAGCATTCATTTTTATTTTGGCTATCACAGGGTTAATACGGACAGTGACGTTTGTGTGACAAAGCTTAAAAGCCTGCGGCCGGATATACTAAACAAGCTGGATTGCGTTCCTTCTGTGTGCCATTTGGTTGTAATTTTCCCGCTTCAGGCAGGAGAAATCTTGATTAATTATCATGGCCTCCAAAACTCCTGGTCTTGGTAGAACTGCTCAGCATCTGCCATTAGCACGCCTGGGCATTTAAGGGCTCGTTCATTGCCAGCAAACTAGGTCCACGAGCAATGTCAACGTGGTTGAAGGATGGAACATATCATGCGCATTTCAGCTCTACAAATGTTGGTATTGAGCGAAGCACGAATCTTTGGCGTGGATGGCTGTTCTATTCTGGCTGCTGCAGTCTCGGCCTCACAAGATGCAGCTTCTTCCAGTGAAGGATGGGTCCCTGCATTGCCCCAACGTGTGAAGGCACAGTGGGCCATTGTCATGAGCTCATGAAGAGTCTGGGTGGAGAGCCGGTGAGAACCAAACTGAATTCCCTCCCTTGCCCTGGCCCCGTGGCATTAGTCTTTTGGCAAGAAGGACAAGTGTAGTGTCGCTTGCTCATAAGTTGCCGGCGTCGTGGGTAAGCTTCCTCAGCAGAGTTTTCCCGACCAAGAATATTTTGTACCGTACCCCTTTTCACTTTCTCATATCAGAGCCCCCAAGGTGTAAGCACTCCAATGACCTATTTGGGCTATATATAGTCTAAACACCCAGCAGGGTCTTGTGATTCGTTGCATCACTCTCCGACCAAGAAGTATCAGAGGTTGAAACTCTTTGAGGAAGTCTCGACGTTGTTGTGCGACCTGAGTCAAACATGTCTTGGTTTCTGCATGGAATGTGCCGTTTCTGGAATGAACAAACCCCAACAAAAATGTTTTGGTCTGAAGCCTTTCATCTGCGGCCTGCTGTCCCTCCATCAACATGGTGATCACTCCAGCCAATGCTGTAAATTGTTTCCTTCTCTGCAACATTTCGTTGACAAACGAAGTCAACATCACGTGCTACATCTATGGTTCCTGCAAAAGAGGAAACATAGAAGTCGTGAAAGGACCTGCGCTAAGAAATGGTTTGCACTTTGATATGGGTGTGGGTGTGGCTCGAACAAACACTCCCGGAACCAAAGGCTTTGGTCTACCTTTCTACCGGATATAAGGTGTTCTTGATGGGCCATAGCCGACATGTCAAGCATGCACAGTTTTCATATGTTTCTATCCTTCCCAGCCTCAAGTTCGTGCAAGTGCATGCTGTTTTCAACAAAATGAAAATATATGGATATTTTCTATGGTCAAATAGTGTTCCTTGCTGCCACTTATGCGAGCCACCAATAAACATCTTATAACCAATCAAAACATAAACTCTCCCGCCTCCAAAATAACATATATAACAAATAAATAGAAAGTGCAGTACTAGTTGACAAGTCAAAAGCAATCACTGTTTTCCGTACTAGGACTGTTGGTGGTGGTGACGGTGGAGGTGGTCCTAGTCGTAGTCGTAGTCGTAGCAGGAGGAAGTAGTAGCGGAAGTAGAAGTAGTAGTACAGCAGTAGTAGCAGTAGTGTACTAGTACTAGTACTAGTACTAGTAGTAGTAGTAGTAGTAATAATAATAATAATAGTCGTAGTAGTAGTCGTCGTAGTCGTAGTCGTAGTCGTAGTAGTCGTAGTCGTAGTAGTAGTCGTCGTAGTAGTAGTCGTAGTAGTAGTAGTAGTAAGTCGCGGGGTAGTAGGAGTGGTAGCAGTAGTAGTAGTAGTAGTAGCAGCATCAGCAGCAGCAACAGTAGTGCAGCAGCAGCAGTAGTACTGTAGTAGTAGTAGTAGTAGTAGTAGTAGTAGTAGTAGTAGTAGTGGTATCGTAGTAGTAGTAGTAGTAGTAGTAGTAGTAGTAGTAGTAGTAGTAGCAGTAGCAGCAGCAGTAGCAGTGGCAGTAGAGTCGTAGTGGTAATGGTAGTGGTAGTGGTAGTGGTAGTGGTAGTGGTGGTAGTCGTCGTAGTCGTAGTCGTAGTCGTAGTCGTAGTCGTAGTCGCAGCGCAGTCGCAGTCGCAGTCGCAGTCGCAGTCGCAGTCGCAGTCGTAGTAGTAGTAGTAGTAGTAGTCGTAGTCGTAGTCGTAGTCGTAGTCGTAGTGGTAGTGGTAGTGGTAGTGGTAGTAGTAGTAGTAGTAGTGGTAGTGGTAGTCGTAGTCGTAGTCGTAGTAGTAGTAGTAGCAGCAGTAGTAAAGTAGTAGCAGTAGTAGTAGTAGTGGGAGTAGGAGTAGGAGTAGCAGTAGCAGTAGCAGTAGCATGCGCAGGTTTCGTGGCACGGGAGGGGGCTTGGGGAGGAGCGCGCATCCTCCTCCAACATTTAGCCTCCGGTGGCCAAAGGTGTGCGACATTGGAACGGTAACTTCCTCCTCTAAATTTTACCCCCGACTGGCCCACAAAGGTATGCTCCGTCCAATGGTTCCTTCCTCCTCTAAATCTTAGCCTCAGTTGGCCCACAAAAAAGGTATGATACGTTGGCTGCTGTCGTCATGGCAAGCACTGCGTCCTTCAAAAATTGGGGGCGTTGTGCCCAGCCAGCAATGCTTCCAACATGCACGTCGTTGCAGGCGTGTACAGGCGAAGCGTTTTCCACATACAAGCGAGCGCCGTGCCTATTTGGTTGGTTCCACGAATGCCCGTCAAAGGAAGCTACGTTGACGCATTAAAGGAACATGTAATACTGCACATGGGAGGACAATGAATGGTATTTTGACAACATTGGGTGAATGATTTTTGCAAGATCAGTAAAAGAGCAGGGCACGAAAGGGGACCGGGGGACCCAGGGAGCAGGGGAACAAAGGACCACGGCACCAAAGGACCACAAGACCAGGGGACCAAAGGACTAGAGGACCAGCTGATTAGGAAAGTATTTTCTTTCGATTCTGTGATTGTTTTTTTGATTGAATAGTTACTTTTTGTTGATCCCTACAGGCCCTATGCCTGCGAAATGATGAAGCCATGGACAAATTAAAGAAATTCTTAGCTGCTGCAGGTATTCAGCCTTGCTCTAGCCATTTCTTGTGTTCCTTGTTATTCCAGCTTGGTCTTAGCAAAGGCACTGATCAGGCTGGGATGGTACTTCCTGGTACTTCCTGCAGCCTTCGACACAACCAGCCTGGCCTCCCTTGGTTCTGCAAGGTCAACTTGGAGCAATCTGCCACCACCAAGACCTGTCGACAACCGTGGAGCCAAAACCTCTGATCACGCGACTTCGCACATGGTGAAAGCTGCATGTAAATTGACAAACGCCACGGTCACAGGGGCGTTTATCGGAGCTCTCCCCTTTGAAGATGAGGTTGCGGGACCACCCGCAGCTCTATAGGAATTTGTGAAGCAGCAAAACCCATGCTTGACAAAGCAGCACAGCGGCACTTTCCATCCTCAGATGCTGACATAGTGAGCTGGATTTGCACCTTGCTGCAGCATGCTGCAGACGCCAGAAGTTTTTCTGGTGGGAAAAAAACGCATCATTTGTGATGATTTGCATTCCCGCGCAAAATCGGCCAGGGATCCGGGCGGAGCACCTCATCTTGGATCAATGCATCCTGGCTTCCAGCACAGAGCAATGTCCACACATTACTTTTCTGAAATGCATTCAAGTTCCCATCCAAACAGCTGAGCGCTGATTTCGCATATCTGTGCATTTCGCGCGACACCATCTAACGTCGCTGAGAGATTCAGAGACTTAATCCTCTGCCAAAAACATCAAATAAATACATAACATAAATATATATATATATAGTAATGTATGAATGCAAAAACATGCCAAAGCGAGACATCTGGCGAAAGCCAATTGACACCCTGTGCGCGCAGTTCATCCAACCTGTGCGAAAGTCAGGAGTCCCGGCAGTCAGCAAAGTCGGAGTTTCGGTGTCTGCGCACCTCTGCGAGATGCTAAGCTGGTCCGCGGGCAGCAAGTCTGAAGGTACCTGGCTTGTCTAAGGCTCTTGACTCTTGACTTTCTGAAAGTACCGACGCTGACAGCATTGGCTTTCGCAAGGGTCACAAAGTCTGCCAGTTCTTTTGCAAAATCCCTGGCGTCCACGATGTGGAAAGTACCTGGTGCCAAAACTCCAGATGGTATGAAACCAGGTAGTTGCCACAAAAGCGTGGATTTGCCACATCGTAACATCAATGTATTATTACATATTTTCCGCCAACCCTGGCCTAGCCGATGCCTAGGCGGGGCGGCGCCGGGGACAGCGCAGCGAGAAGCCATGGCCAATGACCTGCGCTACGACTCCTGGGCCTCTAATTTGACAGCGCAGCGAGAAGCCATGGCCAATGACCTGTGCTCAGTCTACAGGGCAGCAGGACTGTTCTGTGGCCATCACCTCAGCTGCTGCTACGCCCTCTTTTTCTATAAGGTTCCAAAAGCAACGTTAGACACCCTGGCCGCTGCCGTCTGGC